CATTTTCTACAAAGAATTTGGAAGTTCATCTAAATTTGAAGTTCACTTTTATTGTGAGAGCTGTTTAAAATACCTTGGCATTAACGCAGACTGTCCCTTTTAATGTGACTCTTGCAACACAGTGTTTGATGCCAGTGCAAACATAAAGAATGGCTTCTATATACTTGTGTTGCCTCTGTATGCACAGATTAAGCAACTTCTGCAAGAACATGGTGTCAGTCTTAATGAAAAAACTAGAACCTTTGGGGTTATCTCTGACATACAGTCTGGTGAAGAGTATAAAAAATTTTATGTGGCGTTCTTGGAAAAGATGACTTGACGCTAATTTGGAATTGTGATGGCGCACCAGTGTTTTAAAGTTTTAAATGCAGCATTTAGCCAATTTAGTGTCAGGTAATTGAACTGGAACCAGAAGTGAGGAAAAAGCACATTTTGATGTCAGCTTAATGTATGGGACTAAAAGGGTCATGAGACGAGTCATATCCTATGTTGTAGCCAATGATTTATGTAGGCCTATTATATAAAGAGACTTGCTACTTGATGTTTTGTGAGGATTTTGTAAAAGACTACATATATGTACTATATGTATATAATAAATTGGAAATGGCTAATGGCTCTTTTCACATCATAAAAGAATTGTCATTAAAATCAGCCAAATATTTATCTGTTTCTGTGTGGGTTAATAACACTGTACATAAAAGATCAGGTTCACGTCCACACACGCGCTATTTACTCTAAGCTGTTCCACCCTAAAGCTGGCCTGTTACCATAAACTTGAGCATGTAAATTTGTAAGATGGTATGTAAAACATGCTGGCGTATTACCTCAAAGAAGCCAATGTGTGTAAAAAGTATTTAATAGGCTACTCTACCGCAAGACCTACAAGCCAAGTGTACTTAAACTTTCTGTATAAGGAAAGTATACTTTTCTTTAGTATATCTTGATCAAAAGATTAAGTACAAGTATATGCCAAATATACTTAGACTTTTCTGTATACTTGTCAGTATAAGCCAAGTATATATCTGATAAGTATATTAAAAGTAGACTGACAAGTATTAGCTTCTCTGCATTGGCTTCCAGTAAAATCCAGAATATAATTTAAAATCATTCTTCTCACATACAAAGCTCTTAATGGTCAGGCACCATCTTATCTTCAAGAGCTCATAGTACCTTACTACCCCACCAGAGCACTGCGCTCCCAGAATGCAGGGTTACTTGTGGTTCCTAGAGTCTCCAAAAGTAGACTAGGAGCCAGAGCGTTCAACTATCAAGCTCCTCTCCTGTGGAACCAGGTTCCAGTTTGGGTTCAGGAGGCAGACACCATCTCCACATTTAAAAGTAGGCTTAAGACTTTCCTCTTTGATAAAGCTTATAGTTAGGGCTGGCTCAGGTGAGTCCTGAACCATCCCTTAGTTATGCTGCTATAGGCCTAGACTGCCGGGGGATTTCCTATGATGCACTGAGCTCCTCTCTCCTCTACTTTCTCTCCCTCTGTATGCAACCTTATCCCATTATTGCATGTTACTAACTCGACTTCTCCCCTTTCTGGTAGTCTTGTGCTTTCTCGTCTCTCTCCTCTCTTCTCCTATCACTTCCTGCAGGTGTTTCTGGCTCTGGAGCTGTGGAGTTTGGATCTGTGGTTGCGAGTCACCTGCTGCCCCCGTGTTCCTGCTCGACACCCTCTGCTACAACAACTATTGTTACTAGTCCTATTGTTATTATTGTAATTATAATCATTAACATTACGATTATTATCATTAACACTATTGTAAATATCTGTACCATTATTCATCCAGTCTATAGCAACATCACCTTTACTGTCTGTACCTCTGTGTGTATATATTGTGTAGGCTGCCCCTCCCTCTCTCTCTTTCTGTGAGCGGAAGTGTGAGTATGGAGTGAGTGTGGAGTGCAATGCATAGACTGTGCAGTGTCAGTAACGTGTTCTTTGTTTCTATCATTTCTATTTTTATACCTTTATGGTTTTTCTTTTTTTAGAAGTTTATGGTTTCATTTTCTAAAGTTAGTAGCACCTAGGGTTTTTTTTCTTTGGTGGATTGCGTTTACCAGGGCATCTGTTTCCAGTGTTTGCTGGAAGCATGCCTGCCCCAGGTATGGAGAATTTTGAGTAGCTCACGCGGCGTCATGCTGTAAAAATTGCATCGACTGCCAGTGTGGAGGAGTGTAGTTTGGTTGAAGGATGTCATTATGTCAGCACCCCGCATGAATAATTCGATTGTTTTGTTTTTGAGAATGGTTGATTTTGCAAATTAACTGATTGTAAGTGGAGTTGTGATTGATGGCGTTTTTACACCTGTTCTTCCTCTCTCTAAACACATGGTGTCTTTCCAGCAATTTGTGGACATGACATTAAATGATACAAAGAAGATTTGGATTTGACATTGTAAATGTGGACAACTTCCTAAATCAAAACATAGTAAAAACGGTGGGAGGTTTAATGAGAAGAGCAGTCTGCAGGAACTGGAGCACCTAATGCTGGGGATGAAGCACCCGGTACCTCCAGTATGGGGGGGGCAGCCGAGGCGGAGGGAGGCCAACTTAAGGAAAGCAGCAGGTGCAGGGGTCTCAGGTTTACTGAAAGGGATGAAGGAGGCAAACCCGAAGGATAAACCTGTAAATGAAGAACGTAGTTCTTCCTCATCAGTTGGGGAAAATATTGTGGACAATGCTGAGCTGGAAAATAACTCGCAGTTTTGTAATGATTCTGTTGCTGGTGGCGTTCAGTTTCTGGCTTCACAGGATGACAATGAAACTTCTATGGAAACAGCGGAAAGTGTTTTCAAAGTACCTCATAAAAGAAACCTCCCGGTGTAAATGTTAAGAAGGGTGTTGCTCTGGATTAGCGCGGAACAGATAACAAGAGTGAGAGTGATTTCTCTTACCTGCACCTTACCGCTAAGTGGGTTTGTCAGGCGCAAGTATAGCGTGGACGAATTAAAATCGTATTTGAAAGGAAAAAAAACATGCTAGAAATGTCCATATTGATGATTATTTCCCTTATGTGGATCAGTTCATTATGAAAACAAGATCTTTCATGAGGGAGAGCAGTTTTACTGATCAGGGGGTTTACAGTCTTAAAAAAATACTGACCAAGCTTAATGTTGTGTTGAATAGTGGAGAGGTTTAATGTTGAAGCAAGCATTCCCCATGTCTCATGATGATAGTGTAGTTACAAATCTCCAGAGAATGAAGCAAGCGAGCTGTTTTATTTGAAACAATTAGGCAGAATAGATTTGATGTACTCTTTGCTCAAGAAACACACACGGACTCTATTAGAGAGTCTATTTTGAGTCACAATACATCCACTAGTGGTGGAGTTGCAGTTTTTTCCCCCTGATCTTTTACTCCTATTTCCTATCAGGTTGAGGACATAGTAAAGGGTCGGCTTCTAAAGGTCAGAGCCCAGTTTGAAAATCGTTTTTTTGTGTTTATGCCCCAAATTTGCCAATAAATACCTTAAAGGATGCTGTATGTAATTGTCATTCTGGGGATATTTTGCTCCTGGGTGGAGACTTTAACTGCACTGAACATACAATAGACAGGCATCATGTAGAGCCACATATGCCTTCACGTAGATGCCTCATAGAGGTAATAAATTCAAATGAAATTGTTGACATCTGGAGCAATTTTCACAGTGCCCAGAGACAGTATACATGGACTCATTCTTAGAATAATATGCTGTCTTTGGCTAGACTTGACAGATTTTATGGTTTTAAACACCAACTTAGTCTTTTTAGGAGTTGCTCTATAATTCCAGATGGTTTTTCAGATCGTAGTTTGGTTTTTTGGTCTTTGTCTTTAAGGTCTGTTAAGTTAAAAAGTGCTTACTGGCATTTTAATACGAATTTCTTATCTGATCATTTTAGAGAGGTGATTAGACACTTTTGGAATGATTTTAGAACCAGAAAATCATCTTTTCAGTCACTGCAACAATGGTGGGATTTTACTAAGGTACAAATAAAGCAATTGTGCCAGGACTATACGTTCAGTGTCACAAGAGATCTAACTCGTTCAATGAAAAAATTAGAGGAAGAAATAATTGAATTGCAAAATTTAGCAGAACAAACTGGCAATCAGACATACACTGAAAATTTTAAAGCTAAAATGAAGTTATTGACTGACCTGTTAGGTAATAAGGCACAGGGAGCTCTGGTCAGGTCCCGCTTTCAGAGTGTGGAGCTGATGGATGCACCATCAAAATGGCCTACCTGTGGACTTTTACAAGTCTTTTTGGCTGGAAGTAGGTGCAGATGTGTTAACTGTTCTTAGTGACAGCCTTGGAGGGGGGCAGTTGCCTCTGAGCTGTCGAAGAGCAGTGCTCACTCTGATCCCCAAAAAAGGGGACTTGAACAATATAAGATCATGGAGACCATTTTTTTCTGATGCCAGCGTCTATTTTCTATTCATTGCAATGGGAGTGCCGCGTTTTTCCAAGCTGGTAAAAATAATAATAATAATAATAATCCTTATTTGTAGAGCACTTTTCAAAAACAAGTTACAAAGTGCTTTAACAAGTGTAAAGAATAATACAAAAAAAAGATAAGAGCATGAAAATTTAATATAAAAATCTATAATTAGTAAAATACAATAAAATAAAAGGTATAAAATAAAGTCAAATAAGATCGGGAAAAGCTCTCCTATAAAAGTATGTTTTAAGAAGGGACTTAAAAGAGTTCACTGACTCAGCCGACCTGATTTCCTCGGGCAGGCTGTTCCAGAGCCTCGGGGCCCTGACAGCAAACGCTCTGTCCCCTTTAGTTTTCAGTCGAGACTCTGGAACAGACAACAGACCTCTGCCCGAGGATCTCAAGGTACCTGCTGGTGCGTATGGGACTAAAAGGTCAGAAATATAACAAGGCGAGAGGCCATGAAGAGCTTTAAAAGTGATCAATAGAATTTTAAAGTCAATTCTAAAACATACTGGGAGCCAGTGTAATGAAGCTAAAATAGGAGTAATGTGGTCATATTTCTTTGTTCTGGTTAAAAGCCTGGCAGCTGAGTTCTGGACAGTCTGGAGTCGATCAGTAGATTTTTGGGTTAAACAAGTGAAAAGGCTGTTGCAATAATCCAGGCGTGATGAGATGAAAATGTCAGCAGCGTGACGAGGCTTTGAGCGTCTTTTCCGCGCTGAACGTTTTTTTCCGGTTGCCGAGAGTTGAAAAATGTTCTACTTTGAAAAAACGCTTTGGTGGACACGGGCCCTTAGCCAACAGACTGAGTGGAGTGTTTGGGCCTGGTAATCCACCCTGACCAGACCTACTGTGTGCCGGGTAGGCTTCTTCAGAATAATATTTCTTTCATCAGAGATATTTTAGATATGAGTCATTTGTTCAACATGGAATTTGGTCTGGTGTCTATTGATCAAGAAAAAGCTTTTGACAGAGTTGAACACAATTATTTGTGGGGTACTCTTGCAGCTTTTGGCTTTTGGCCCAATTTTATTAACAAAATTAGAGTTCTTTATTGTGACATAGAAAGTATACTTAAGGGTAATGGTGACTTGTTCCTTTCAAAGTCCATAGAGGGGTCAGACAGGGATGTGCGTTGTCTGCCATGTTGTACACTTTGGCAATTGAGTCCCTTTTGGTAAAACTGAGACAGAAATTAATTGGGGTGAAAATTCCCGAGTGTGAAAATGTATTTCATTTGTCAGCCTATGCTGATGATGTTGCTGTGCTGGTTAGTGAGCAGAGGGATATAAATATTATGTAAAAAATGATGATTTTAAAATAATTTCCTTTAAAGTCGAAAGTACACTGGTTAAAAAGTGTCACGGTGGCAGCCCGGCTGTTGGCGGGTGTCCTGTTTCTCCTTTCCCTCACAGTCTGGTTTCTCCAGTGCCCTCTCTCTCTCTCTCTCTCTGTGTACTCTCTCCCTCCCTGCTCCGGAGCCTGGCTGGCTACCCACACCTGCACCTCGTTAACCTCCATCCCCAGCCGCCGCACCTGCCAGCCATCAGCCTCATCACAACCAGTATATCTACCCCGGCTTTCCACTCCACCCTCGCTCGATTGTCGCAGCTCCTGACCTGGTGTCGCCGCTTCGTTCTGGCTCTTTCTAAAATTCCCTCTTGCTTCACGTCCCCATTGCCTACTAACCCTGTCTCTCTGTTTCCCCCTGCCAGGTTCACTCACCTCTGCCTCCCAGCTCGGCCAGCCGGGCTCGCTCGCCTGCCTCCTCCTCTCGCCGCCTCCACGACGCCCTCCGGCTTCTCCTCCCGCACCCCGCCTGGACCCCAGTCTCCGCGCCTTCTCCTATCCGTCTGCCAGCCTCCCTCAAGCCTCCAGCCTAAGTGCCCTCCATTCCTCCAGCTTCTCGGTTCCCCGTGTCCTCGTCAGCCTCTTCTCCTCCTTCCACCCGCCCTCGCCTCGAACCCCCTTCTCCTCAATAAACCTCTTTTTCTAACCCTCAGCGTTGCGTTTGGGTCCGTTCTGTCTCCCATCGTTACAAAAAAGTGTAGCTATGCTGATTGGGAAATGGTCAAGTGGAGAGCCAAATTTTCCAGTTGGTTTAAATTGGAGTGGTTTTAAATATCTTGGAGTTTTTGGGGGAATGAAACATACATCCAGAAGAATTTTGAAGGGGTTGTTGAAATATTAAAGGGCCGGCTTGAAAAATGGAAATTCTTATAATTCTTATTATCAACAATTTGGTAGCATCCTCCCTCTGGCATTGGCTGGCTTGTGTGGATCCTCCAGTACAACTGCTGTCAAAGATACAGTCAATTCTTTCTGGGATAATCTACACTGGGTTCCACAGAGTGTTTTGTATCTACCTAAAGAAGACAGTGGGAATAGACTGGTGCATTTACAAAGCAGAACAGTTGTTTGTGCAGCGTCTTCTCATAGGATCAGTGGATTCTAATTGGAAATCTGTGGCTTGTGCCATTTTACAGACTTTTGATGGACTGGGACTGGACAGAACTTTGTTTTGGATGGATTCAAAGCAGATGAATCTCAGTAAAATCCCTGTGTTTTATCGTAATCTTTTTAAAGTTTGATCGCTTGTAACTATACACCGAAAAAGATGTGCTTGGTCACTGTACTGGTTAAGGAGTCTTTAATTTATGGTTCAGCTATGGACATCATCTGTAAAGACACTTTTCCTAATCTAATGTTGTAATCTAGTGTTTTGATAACTTGGTATTAGTAGGGCCAAATCGGGCAAATGGCAAAGCTTTATATAAACTCTGTGTAAAGTCTTTAAACAAAAAGTCTCTGGTCAGGAGGGTAGATACACACCGACGTTCTGTTTTGCATATGGGGGAAGACCACAAGACCACAGTGGCGAGCACTATACAAGTCATTGTTAATAAAAAAAAAACTGGGGATTTACAATAGAGAATTCTGCATGGAGAAATTGCAGTTAATGCTTTTGTTTCTGTGTTGAATCCTGTTGTGGGTCAAGGGTGCCCTTTTTGTTCATTGAGGGGGACTGTGTTTCATGCCTTCATGCAGTGTGAGAGGCTAAAGCCTCTATTTGTTGTTTTACAGTCACTTCTTGTTTGTATTAATGAAAACTTTTCAATGAAGACTTTTATTTTGTTATAAATATGTGAGGAAGCTGCGTTTCAAATGTCAACTGATAAACTCCTACTTGGACAAAGAAAGATCGCAATTTATGCTAGTCGTAAGAATAAAATTGAGCAATTGTCTAGTGATGACTGTATAATGTTTTTTTCAATTCTTGTGAGGTCTCGAATGTTATTTGATTTTCATTTTTATAAAGTAATGAAAGATCTTGAATCTTTTAAGCTAATATGGTGTCATAATAGCATGTTGGGTGTGGTTGCTGATGAGAAACTGCAGTTTGCACACTTTTTGAAGAATGTTTGATCCCGCTGCTATAGCATTTTAAATTGGTGTTATTTACTTATATATAAGATGATGTTGTACATGGTGACAAATTGTGTAGTGTTGTATGTTTTTTAAGATGATTAATGATTTTTTGAAAAATCAATTCTCTCTCTCTCTCTCTCTCTCTCTCTCTCTCTCTCTCTCTCTCTCTCCCTTCACCCCCAAGGCAGATGGCAGCCCACCCTGAACCATGGTTCTGCTCAAGGTTTCTGCCTCTTAAAAGGAAGTTTTTCCTTGCCTCTGTTGCCTAGTGCTGCTCTTGGTGGGAACGTCTCGGATTACGTATGTAACAAGGGTTCGAGACACTGCGTCGGTGACGACACTATGGGAACGCCTCTGGGCGTGGCAGGGCTGAAATCAAGAATGAAACTACTCCAATCCTATTGGCGTTGCTAGAACGGTAGCGTGTGACGGCGTAACTGGAGGCGTATATAAGCACACCGGCACACCAGACACATTAGCTCTTTGCTATGAAGCAAGGCACTCCAGGCGGGGCGAGGTGTGGCAGACCGACGCAGTGTCTCGTTCCCCTTCTCGTTCTCCCCTTCGAGGGAACTCGAACTGCGTCGGTGACGACACTATGGGAACGAGAATACCCACTATTCCACGCCGAAGCCTCCGCCTGCCCCCCCCAGCGTGCAGTAAATGCCTTAGGCACGACTAAGAGGAGAGCGCACGGGTGCCGGGTGCAGAAGGAAGGTCCAGACTGTAAAACCGGATGAAAGTGTGAGGAGTGGCCCAGCCAGCTGCCTCACACAAATCCTGGAGCGAAGCCCCTACGAGGAGGGCCCTAGAGGCCGCCATGCCTCGAGTAGAGTGCGCCCTTACGGCCATAGGTGAAGGTAACCCGCGCACCCGATAGGCCAGAGAAATAGTCTGAACAATCCAGTTGCTGATCGTGTGTTTAGAAGCACACCAGCAACTGGTCTGCTTTCCTCCACCGGGAGGACCTCAGAGTGTAAATACTCAATACAGATGAAGTCTCCCGGTCTCCAGGTGTCAAACACATTCAACTTCAGGCCGTACGTCCTTCTCGTGGACAGGGCTCTGGAGCTGAGCAGCATCTCGACTGTTCCCGCCGTCAGGCCCGCCTCCAGGAACTGGGCCCCCTCAGGGGCCAGAACCAAGGTCTCCACAGGGCGGTAAGGGTGAAAGGCCTGGCCCTCCACGTGAGACAGCAGGTCCCTCCTCAGGGGACCTGCCATGGCAGGCCCTCGAGGAGCAATGGCCGGCCAAAACGTGGCTACCAGCAGTAGACTGACACCGTCCTGACGGACCCGCTCCAGAACGCCCGGGAGCAGAGCGACTGGGGGAAAGGCATACAGGCGCAGCCTCGGCCACGTCTGCATCATGGCATCCAGCCCTAGAGAGGGAGAACCACAGGGGACAGTGTGTAGTCTCTCGAGACGCAAACAAGTCCACGTCTATGGGGCCGACCTTTCGCATAATAACTCGACAGCAGGTCTGCTCCCTGATTCTGGGTCCCAGGGACGTATGTCGCTCTGAGTGACAGCAGTCTCTGCCGGGACCACAGGAGGATCTGATGTGCCACGGGCGTGAGCGCAGACCCCCCTGGTGATTCAAATAGGCCATCACCACCGTGTTGTCGGTCCTGACAAGGACGTGGCAACCGCGGGGAGCGGGCAGAAAACTCCTCAGAGCGCTGAAAACCGCCAACATTTCCAGGCAATTTATGTGCCAAGAGAAATGATGATCCTGCCAGGAGCCTCTCGCAAAGCGGCTGTCCATGACCGTGCCCCACCCCGCGAGTGAGGCGTCTGTCGAAATAATTGTTCGGCGACATGACGCTCCCAACACAGGACCCTGGGACAGGAACCAAGGCTTCCTCCATACTGACAGGGAACCTGCTCGTAACCCTGTGCGTAGGTCTCCGGTGGTACCCTGAAGCAGAGGACCGCCAGGGAAAACTCACCGGCGACCCACGGTGTGTGAGCCCGATCGTTTTTCAGCTGCAACCCCTCGAGGCGGGCAGACTGGTGAGAGCTCGCTGGCGGTTAGCGTGTCCCGAGTGCCAAGACGGCGGGAAAACAGCGCCTGTTGTCTGAGCCACCACAAGGGAGGGGACCTCGGTCAGCCTCTCGGGGGGCTGTGGGCGAGAGTGCCGCCTCACGTCCCGGTTTTGTTGAGGGGGACTACGGGAAGCAACGCTTCGCTTCTGGCTCCGGCGGTAGGAGCTAGACGAGGGCTGAGCTCATCTCTCTTCAGCCATCGCCGTCCTGCCGCCTTTTGCCCGGTGTTAGCTGGGATTGGCTCCAGCCCTCTTGTGACCCTATACACAGGATAAGCGGTTGATGATGGATGGATGGTGTGTGTGTGTGTGTGTGTGTGTGTGTGTAATGATTATAATATAATTATAATATCATCAAAAAGTTGATTTATTTCAGTAATTCCATTCAAAAAGTGAAACTTGGATATTATATTCATTCATTACACACAGACTGATATATTTCAAATGTTTATTTCATTTAATTGTGATGATTAAAATTAATGAAAATCACAAATTCAGTATCTCAGAAAATTTGAATATTACTTAAGACCAATACAAAAAAAGGATTTTTAGAAATGTTGGCCAACTGAAAAGTATGAACATGAAAAGTATGAGCATGTACAGCACTAAATACTTAGTTGGGGCTCCTTTTGCCAGAATTACTGCAGCAATGCGGCGTGGCATGGAGTCCATCAGTCTGTGGCACTGCTCAGGTGTTATGAGAGCCCAGGTTGCTCTGATAGTGGCCTTCAGCTCTTCTACATTGTTGGGTCTGGCATATCGCATCTTCCTCTTCACAATACCCCATAGATTTTCTATAGGGTTAAGGTCAGACGAGTTTGCTGGCCAATTAAGAACAGGGATACCATGGTCCTTAAACCAGGTACTGGTAGCTTTGGCACTGTGTGCAGGTGCCAAGTCCTGTTGGAAAATTAAATCTGCATCTCCATAAAGTTGGTCAGCAGCAGGAAGCATGAAGTGCTCTAAAACTTCCTGGTAGACGGCTGCGTTGACCTTGGACCTCAGAAAACACAGTGGACCAACACCAGCAGATGACATGGCACCCCAAACCATCACTGACTGTGGAAACTTTACACTGGACTTCAAGCAACGTGGATTCTGTGCCTCTCCTCTCTTCCTCCAGACTCTGGGACCTTGATTTCCAAAGGAAATGCAAAATTTACTTTCATCAGAGAACATAACTTTGGACCACTCAGCAGCAGTACAGTCCATTTTGTCTTTAGCCCAGGCGAGACGCTTCTGAGGCTGTGTCTTGTTCAAGAGTGGCTTGACACAAGGAATGCGACCCATGTCTTGCATACGTCTGTGCGTGGTGCTTCTTGAAGCACTGACTCCAGCTGCAGTCCACTCTTTGTGAATCTCCCCCACATTTCTGAATGGGTTTTGTTTCACAATCCTCTCCAGGGTGCAGTTATCCCTATTGCTTGTACACTTTTTTCTACCACATCTTTTCCTTCCCTTCACCTCTCTCTCTATTAATGTGCTTGGACACAGAACTCTGTGAACAGCCAACTTCTTTAGCAATG